CTCTGCCTGCGCCCGTGCCCTGCAGGCGCGGGCAAGAGGGGAGCGGGGATGCTCTCAGGAGGGAGAGCCGCTGCCGCCGGGCGGCTGCCGCGTGTTGGGTCCATGCGGGACACCGCTGAGCTCCCGGGGGCAAAGGCAAGCGGGAAGGAGCAGGCAGGCAAGCCTGGGGTTCGACTTTGCCATGCCTGCTGAGGGGCCTGCCCGCCCTCGGTTCCCGTGCCACCTTCCTCCTGGCCGCAGGAAATGCAGAGCGTAGGCTGATGATGTGATGGCCACCTACGAAACCAAGATGTCTGAGGTCTCCCAGCATCTCACACGGCCTTGTGGTGTTCCTTGCTCCAGTGCTCCGCAAGGCAGGAACACCATGGCTGGATGCTTCAAGGCACTGTAGCATACACGAGTGAATTGCTTTTCTTCTCGCCCTGATTTTGGGGTTTGGTTTGTTCCTAGGCTTGAAGGAAGCTGTGAAATCTGATAGTGTCATTGCAGCAGCCCTTGGTGGAGAGGCAAATTTGTATTGCAATTTCTCGCTCTCGCTGGATGTTTTGCAAGTCACCTGGCAAAAGAGAAACGGGTCTTCCTTCCAGAACATAGCCACCTATAGCCCAAACCATGGGCTGAGGCTGATAGGGTCATTTCAGAAGAAGGCGCGTTTCACTACAGCAACCCTGCAGGCCTCAGCTATCACGCTCCAAAATCTCACGTTTGAGGATGAGTCCTATTACAGATGCATTTTCAATGTGTTCCCGCATGGCTCTTTCAGCAAAGATATATGCCTCAACATCCAAAGTAAGTTTTCCACTAACACCTTCTCACTTTCTGGCACTCAGCACAGGTCTGATGTAGTCAGGAGGTGGGTAAGGCATTATGCCCTCCACCGCATGGAGACTTCCCATGCAGCAGCATCTCCTCGGTGGATAGTCTTCAGAATTGCTACACCTATCCTCAGAGGAGGGAAAGGTAAATAAGCTGGGAGATGCTTTCGTGTAAGAAACCCCATACAGAGAGGTGACCCATCCAGCTTTGACCGTAAACTCGCCACAGAGTGTAAAAAGTACTTTCTCTTTTTGCTCTCAGCAATTTCTGAGCTAACAGTGGAATATGATTCCCACCTACCCACCGAGGGTCTCCTCACCGCAGTCTGCTCAGCAACAGGAAAGCCTGCCCCCAAAATCACCTGGCTGGATGACAGAGACCTGGATGGGTCCCTTGAAATACACCACGTCCAAAATGCAAACGGAACAGTAACGGTGGCAAACAGGCGTACATTCTCTGCCAACCACCTCCGTGTCTTGGTCTGCCTTCTCAACCACCCACAGGGAATGAAAATGAAGGAAGTTTACCTGGGAAAAGAAAGGGAAGGTAGGCTGCATTTGTATGGAGAGGTGGAGCATGTTAGCGGGGAGCACTTAGGAAAGGATATGCAGCTGTGGGAGCGCAGCTTGTGCTTAGGTAGGTCTCACTAGACATTGTTCTGGGAGTTCAGACCTCATGCTGGATGAAGATTTCATTATTTGAAACCATCCAGAAGATTCCTCCCTGCAGTATCTTTGTATGTGTGGTGGGTGTGTACATATATATAGCTCTAATAATAAGCATATAGATTTGTGTGTGTATATGTCTCCACATGTTTATATTTCTACACAACCACTGATTCAGAGCAGATAGGATCAGCTCTCCAGCAGTATCCACAGCTGGAGGGTACCAGCAGAGCAGTCCCCTGGCTGTTGAATGCTGGGGAACAACATTTCATGTAGAAGATCTTGCAGGAGGGTATGTCTCAGGAAGGATGGGATACTTCCCTCATGATAAAACTTCCTTTTACAAAAATAGAAACACAAATATATATGGGGTTAAAATGTTGGCTTTGGTTCCCTCAATATCAGGGCAATTTGAGACATTATTGGTATTTATTTAAAAAGACAAAATAATTCCTCAGCTACCACAGTGTTACATTGTTATGCTATTCCTTTCTCTTCTTCAAAGAATAAATGAGCACAAACTGATGAATGTTTCACTTCAGTCCCAACCTCTGGAAGAAGACACGAGAAACATGTTGACATCCCTCTATGTTCTGTGTGACATTATTGGTTTCTTTTTGTAGGTGTTCAGACGAGCACAATCATCATCATGGCAGTTGTAATATCTGTGTTCTTAATAATCTGTACACTTTGCATCATAAGTCTAGTCAACAGAAAAAGGAAAAAGTAAGAGTAATTTCCATTTTCTTGTAAATTACATGGCTTGCCTGTGTTGACCTTACAATTTGCCTTTCTGTTTCTTGTTGGGGTTTTTATACACCTGCCCTGGAAACTTATCCAGGTGGTAACAGCAGTTTTAAAATAGCAAGGTTCATTCTAAATGCCAGGAGGTTTCTAAGCACTATGTGACTAGTTAATGGGTTTTTTTCAGGCTGAAGGGACGTAGTGCACGCAGAACGCATGCAGAGGAGAAAAGCTTACATCAAGACCTAAGTGAGAAAGCCAGGAGTCTGCACGCACCGAAGGACCAGTGCATTGCTTCTGAAAACAAGGTAATGCAAATGCCCAAGCCTTCCAGTAATTATTCACATCCTTCAAAGCCTTGGCACAACACTTATCAGGAATGTGACAAAACCCTTCCATTGGGAGCTGGGGTCCGTTCCTGCTGCCATGTGTTTGCTGCACAGGACAGCCACGCTGGGTAGATGACAGCATGCATGCTCCATCTAACCTCCAGCAGTGCTATGGAAGGCCTGGAGCTTGAAGGAGAAAAGCTAGCCAATGATTAGGTGGAAAGGCAGGGAAGAGGTACTGGAAATGCCCAGGAGGGCAGCTGGGATGCCCCGTCTGGACAAAGGCCAGGGAGTGCTGTGGAGCTCAGACGCTGCAGCCAGCAGCCTCACGCAGACGTTTCCCAGAAAACTGCCCTGCCCATGCTGGTCATAGAGGTATGAAGGTGCTCTGGAGAGCTAGCGGCACCCACAGCCAAAACCAGTGACCACAGCTGGGAGTCACCCCCGCTAGCCCCTTTCCTCTGACGTCCCCACAGATTCCCTGTTTTCCTGGCAAGCTCTGGCTAGTCCTGTGCTGTGAAGAGGAGCCCTCCTCTCTTCTCGGCACTTCTCTCCGCCAGACACCGTAGAGCTTTTTCGTGGTTACCACACCACTGTGCTGGGTCTTTTGCAGGAGCAGACACCAGGCTCCTCACTTCATGAAAGGCTGCCAGGTCTGAAGAGAAACTTGAAGGAGAAAAAAAATTGCAGGCGCTTGTTTTCAGAGGAAGCGGAGAACCAGAGCAGCGACGTCCACAGCGTGTTTGACAGGAAACGTGTTAGATTATGCCTGGAGGAGCTCGGCTGCACACCTATGAAGGAGGACAGAGAGGCACCAGCAGATGGAGGATCCTGGCTGCTCCCCAGCCCAGAACAGGAAGGAGAGCCATCAGCCCCACCGTCTGGGCTCACCTCTACAAGCCCAGAGGAGCACAGGGGCCCAAGGGCAGGTGGGGAGCCCAAACTAAGGACCAAGAGGAAGGAGCACCTTGCCCAGGTCCCTCCCAGGGATGTCACAGAAGACCCTCAGCCCCAGAGTCTGGGTGTGAAACCCATCCAGATGAGTCCTCGGCGAAGCACCTTTCGAATTGAGGAGGTCACTGCCTAAGGGGTACGGACACATGACGGGACGCAGGGGAAGAGTATTTTGGGATTGCACAGGACTTATTATGGGATGTTTAGGGGAGGAACCAAAGGTGAGAAAGGGGTGAATCAAGGGGATTTGGGGATGAAAAGGCCTGGGAAAATGGAGGGATAAGGGGATAAAAGGGTCTGGTCGCACGTACGCAGGAGGCTGTTCATTACACTTTTCCTGGCCATGCCCAGCACCCAATTACCATGGTCTGTCCTGTCTTTTTATTAAGCTCCATTTCTAACTCTTCCTGGGTGAGGGACTCCCTAGTGGGTGGCACTCACGTATGGGGGCCTGGTGCCAGCAGCTGGACTGGGACCATGGGCTGGCGGGTGCAACCGAGGAGACCGAGAGGCACCAGGTGCCAGCCACCAGCACGGACCAGGGGCAGAGCCCGTGTGTCCTTGGTGCGAGCACGGGTGAGCACACGAGTGCCAGCAAGGATCAAGGTGCACAAGCCAGTGAGTAGGTGACGCGTTCTGGGGCACCCTTCGACATTTCACGAGTAATCAGGTATGCAGAACTGTACCAAGATCAGTATCTCGAAAAAAGTTATGTTTTTAAGGGCTGGAGCTGGAAAACTTCCCCTCCAGCTCTCTGTATCATAACACGAGGTGCGTTAGAAATGTCCCTCCGATGGATCTGCAAAGGCTCTTCTACCAGCTTGTGTCCCGGTGCAGCCTCAGCGCAGAGCACTTTCTTTTACGATAGCAGAGTACCCTCTAGTGGGAGAGATCACCAACGAAAGTGAAAACACCTCCGGTGAGTCTTCCATTAAAATAATAACTCATGAGTGGTGGTTTTTTGTTTTTTTTTTTCTCTTTGGACTTTCAACTAGGCTTTCGGTATCCAGCAACCTTATCCCAGGTATCAAGAAATTACAACCACTATACCCAAAGACATTCAGGAACAACACGACGAAACTACTTTGAGGGTTGTCCTGCGACAGACACTGACTGTGGCTGCTGGGAGAGAAGGTGTTGAAAGGGACTGGCAGAAGAAACTGCTTCCTGAGAGACCTGGATTATCTTCAGCTGGGCTTCTTGGTCAACGGACCTTTAGAGAACAACCTCAGACTTCTTGGCCAAGGGACCTTTAGAGGTCAATCTCAAGTGGTATTTTAACCAAGATTTTCTCAATATTTAAAGGACAACTGTTCCCTGCATTCTGAAAATCATGTGATGATTTAGCTTGCCTTGGAGATTGTCATGTCACATGCTTGCAGGTCACAATGAGGGGCTTCAACTTGGCATTCCTCAAATGAGAGTTTTCTGAGATTAAATGTTCATTAATATTTTTTTCCAGAGAAATTATGTCTTTTTTTTTCCATTGTAGTCATGGACATGTACATGATCTTCAATTGTAACTATGATTGGAAGCCATCAATACACGTGTACAAACACAACAACAAAAGAAGAGGCTAGTGAGTCTAACTACTGCTTTTCAAAGATAACTTTTTCGCAGGAAATGGAAATTACAGAGAGAAATGTGCAGGCTCAGTGCTGTGAGATAGCAACCAGCGGTACTCCAGTTGAGTGCTTCAGAGCCTGCTGAAGGAGGGGGAGAGGAATGGCCTCAGCTCTGCACTTCTGGCAGTGAGTACATGATTTATCTTTGGTGCAGAAATGTAGCTTTTCTGAGAGCAAAAAGTTAGTTCTGGTGATTGAGGGGGAAAAATTAAAATATTATGAAATGCACACCAAGGACTCAGGAAACAAATAGGCAGAAAAAAGTCTCATTTTTTTCAGAACATCCCACTTGAGGGCTTTTTTAAAACAGTCCAGTACTGGATTTCTACAGGGCAGATGACCTGTTTTTCACTACTCTTCAGGTAGGAGTTTAGAAGTGCTCTTTGATTCTTCCTGATGAAATGGAATTAACTGGAAATTGAATTGTTTCTTTCACTCCTAGTAATTGTGTTGTTTCCTTTCAGAAGGAAAAACATTACCAGTTTTAGAAGCAAAACAAAAACCTGACACCAAAGCTGTCCCAAAGCCAGCCTCACTAACAAGACCCAGATAACATGTCCAAGCTTGCTTTTTTTAGTGTTACCAGTCCCAAGAGCCGAAGGAGGCTCTGGGGGATGGGAGAAATTAATATAAAAAAATGTAGTGACTGTCTCACCTTTCTTTTATGAAATATCCTTCTTTCCTGACTATCAACCTGATTTTCTCCCTAGGAAACCAGGATTTGCAGTGTCTGGGGTGCAAGTACATTTGTTAGTCTGTGTAATATGCTGAGCTTATCACTTCTGAGAGGTTCTGCATGACTGGTGGTACCCTGGCTGCCAGGATGCTCAGCCCTCATGCAGAGAAGAGGCACATAAATGAAGATCAGTGGGAGAGACATAAACAGTCCTCAACACAAAAAGACCAACAGGTCTCAGTAGGAAATGAGAGAAGGGAAGAGAATATGAGTTTAGGCATGGGTGTCCTAGCTGTACCAAAGATGCATGGCTGCGAGGCCCGACACCCCCGCCACTCCCGTTAAGTCTAATACCAAACCTTGGTTTAGAGCAAAGTTTAAATTTAGGTGTCTTCCATTTTACACAGCTATTCTGGAGGTGGAAAGCAAAGCAAAACGTAGAACATATCCAGGCCCTTCTTGCCACGTAAAAGGACCCCCAGACTTTTCTGTGGTTTTATCTCCACCCACATGGTGAACTTTCTCCGCTGGGAAGCGCAGTGTAGTTTGTGCTGGAAAAATTGGCCAGGGTACCAAACTGTAAACCATTTAACATTTGCTTGTTTTATAGAAGTAAGTTTGAGAGAAAGAGAAGATGTGGTTTGCGCACGGTCACATGGTTGAATCACTAGCAAAATGACAGCTGGTGGCAGATCCTCGGGAGCAGGCTGGACCTCCTAGTAGACCTATTTGAGCATTCATGACTTGAGGAAGCATTGCTTGAATTTTATGATTAAGGGGCACATGTTAATTTATATGAGTAGAGCCAGAAGGGAGTCGAATCAGCAGAGCCTAACAGTCCTGATGTAAGCCTCCAGCAGGCAACATGCCCTCTAAAACTTAGTGTGGTTGGTTTTACTGGAATCTGTGTCACTGACTCCGGTTGCCCTCTAACGCTTCCTTTTCTTTTTTTTTTTTTTTTAATATAACAGCAACAGCAGCTTGCAACAGCTGTGTCATATTCTTTTTCCTTAAACCTATACAACCTTCACTGGTTACTGGCTCAAATGGTTCTGCCTAAAAGAGGTCATTAGTCCAGAACTCAAGAGAAGAACCAAGAAATATATTATCAGCAGAGTGCATCCACCCAGAAGGCAGAGGAAAGAATAAAGTACAGACCTCATGTGTTACAGAAAAGATTTCAGATTGCTTCTTCCACCAGCATAGCGGGCATATGGCAGGTGAAGAAATAAAAGGAGAGGAACAAAGAACTCTCTGGATTTTAGGACAAGAGGTCTCTACTTTTGTTCTCACTAACTTCAAAAGCTTTGTCACACCAGAGAGTCGGTACCAGCTCGGGAGAAGGTGACTTACAAAGAACTTTGCACAACTTGGCAGAGATTGCTGAGCTGTGCCAGGTGCTTGTAAAAAGAAACGGTTCATATGAGAGAACAGAATAGGGCAGAAAGGGGTTTTTGTGTCTTGTTCTTCAATGAATATAAAAATATTTTGGATTTTCTGCCATTGCTGGTCTTCCTGGAGTACTTTCCATTTGCCGCTGTCTGCCATAAGGTTACCTCTGGTCTTCATCTATTACTTCAGAACTATCCTTTCCTTGTTCAGCTTTAGTTTCCCCCCTTTTTTCCAAAGAAGTAGCCCTCTTACTTTCCAGACCCTTTCATCATTTTCTTCTTTCTTCTCCAAGTTTCCCCAGCCCATTGAAGGAGCAATAAAATTTGGATAAATACAGAACTTTTCCACTGCAGTAGGCATGAGTTACAGGGTGAGCTAATATAAAATATCGCTCAAGTCCCCCAAACATCCCTTAATTTTCATGAAATAAGGGCAGGAAGATGTCCCTGGGACTTCCCTGCTTTTGTCACTTTGATGGCACAGGGCACTTCTAGATAAATTTATTTTAAGCTGTGTAGTCCACAGTTCACAGGAGTTCCCTCTAAAATCCCCTCAACTACAGTGAAGGCAGGTAAGCACAGGAGATCTGCTAACACATTTTTCTCATTAAAAAAATGCGTGTGAAGGGTCTAGGTAACATCAGTCTCAAACAACAAGTAGTAGGTTAGCTGCTGGAGACCTGACCTGCTTTAGAGGGAACCCATTCTCTGCTCAAAACAAAAAGGGGAAGGCTGGCAGAGGGAAATTTAAGTGACCTACTCATCAGTCCTAGGAGACAGAAGAAAATGTTGAAAAAAAGGTAGTGGTGGAGCTTGGGCTTTGGTTTGTTAGTTGGCAGAGAAAGGGCCACACTATATCAAGCACCGTGGTGCAGAAGGTGTCTCCAGGGACAGCTGTATCTGGTTGGAAGAGCCACTGCCCTGACCCCCAGCCTCCAGCAACAGGTTAGATCTGATCTGGTGGGGACAGCGGGGGCTTTCTTCTTTTTGCAAGTCAAAAAGCACTGCATTGTGCAGTGAGTTACTGAGCGCAGTGGAACGGGCATGGTTGACACACGGGTGAGCTTGGGATGACTCACGAAACATGCAACCACCACCCCATTCCTTAGAACACTTTAATAGCAGTGATTCAAATATTCCTACACACAGGTATCTTCAGTAAGAAAGGGTTTCTGGTTTTCTTGGCCACTATGTGGGCATCTTTACCAAGTAATTTTGGCAGGGGCTTGAAATTGTGCCAAGTCTAATACTTTTCCCGTGAGCAATGATGTCTGAAAACAGGAGACCTCCTCGAGCCTTGAAAGAGAAACATTACAACCGGTATGAATGACGCAGGAACACGTGTGTGTGTATGTGTGAAAGCAGCTAAAGCAACAGCAAAGAGCAGGCACTGAAAGTCCTGTATTGATTGCAAAGGATGCTGTTTCTAATTAATCAGAT